CCACAAAGTGACAACTACATAAGTATGCACCAGGACCTGGTTCAACAACTGTTCTCCTGCAATAAATAGTAAAAATAAGACAAAAGTTCAATTTGAAAATATCCTATCAAAGAACGGTAACTCATGTGAATAGCAATATCTAAATACAGCATTTTTTATAAGCAAGATAACACACATTAGCGGATCGCTCAGTTACATACCTGCTTGTAAACTAACGGCCTTATTTTCAACAAAAATTGTTTTAAAACTCCACTTTAACCACTTGATACGGAAGAAGTTTTCTCAAGGTGTTTATGTTTACTTTTTTTTTAGTTTTACGGATTTCCTTACTATGATATTTAGGAATTAACTTTCAGAATCTTAATTTTTCCTTTCATTATGTTGTAGATGCACACATCTCACAATAGGAGTTATTGAATTTTAATTTTAAACAAAATACATTTCATTTTCCAGGTTAGAAAAAATTACCTATGACAATGACATTGACATTACAAAACAGAAAACATATACACTGAAGAAAGCATAGTCCACTGCTATCCATAGACGAACACGGTTGACATATGTCAGTGTCAAGCGCCATTTTTTTGCAAGTCGTGTTATAGCTAGATTTATGCGACGATCCTCATATAAATCTAAGTCTGCTATACAATTTGCTACATGGAAGATTTTATAACGCCATGTATGGTATTAACAACAACACATGCGACGTTGCCGGCATCTCACATAAATCTGAGTCTGTTATACAATTGTATACAGGATATTTTCAATGCTATATGGAAATAACAGATAACAGGTAAAAGGTGGTAACAGGTAACAGGTGGTAACATATAACAGATAACAGATAACTTATAACAGATAAAAGATGACAGATAACAGATAAAAAGTAACAGATAAAAGAAAACAGAACAGATAACAAATAACTGATAACTGAAAACTAAAAAATGAAAACTGAAATCTGAAGAATGAAAAATGAAAAATGAAAATTGAAAATTAAAAATCAAAAATCAAAAATCAAAAATCAAAATCAAAAATCAAAAATCAAATCGAAAAATCGAAAAATCGAAAATCGAAAAATCGAAAAATCGAAAAAAAACGAAAAATCGAAAATCGAAAAATCGAAAATCGAAAAATCGAAAAATCAAAAATCAAAATCAAAAATCAAAAATCAAAATCAAAAATCAAAATCAAAAATCGAAAATCGAAAAATCGAAAAATAAAAATTAAAAATTAAAAATTAAAACAGAAAATTAAAGAAAAATTAAAAATAAAAATTAAAATTAAAATAGAAAATGAAAATGAAAACTGATAACTTATAAAAGATAACAGATACCAGATAGCAGATACCAGAAACCAGATACTAGACACCAGATACCAGACACCAGATACCAGATACCAGACACCAGATACCAGATACCAGATACCAGACACCAGACACAGATACCAGACACAGATACCAGACACCAGACACCAGATACCAGACCCAGAAACCAGATACCAGATACGAGATACCAGATACCAGATACCAGACACCAGATACCAGACACCAGATACCAGATACCAGATACCAGATACCAAGACACCAGATACCAGACACCAGAACCAGATACCAGAAAGATACCAGAACCAATACCAGATACCAGACACCAGACACCAGATACCAGATACCAGACACAGATACCAGATACCAGATACCAGACACCAGATACCAGACACCAGATACCAACCAGATACCAGATACCAGACACCAGTACAGACACCAGACACAGATACCAGACAACAGATACCAGATACCAGATAACGATAACAGATACCAAATACCAGACACCAGATACCAGACCAGATACCAGATACCAGATACAGATCAAAGATGCCAAAGGATAAAAAGATTAGAGATAGGATAAAGTATATC